CTTAGTTATCTCAGACACAGTATAACGACCATCATCATTAGTTATAGCTTTCACAGCAGCAGCAATGTTCTTCTTTGATACTGCAACTACTGGCATGCATGGCCATGTGTCCTTTTGAGGTCAACTTTACCATTCTTGATGTTGTTCATCCTCCTAAAAATCGTTCTAAATGGCACAGCAGAGGTGCCTTTCATGCTGCACAACTCTGCATGTATATGTTTTGGCGATATCTGTTAGGCACACCGTTCAAGCATATTTAAGATTTAGTCTCAACCTTCATTTTAGCAACTAGTCACGAGTGTTCAACTTTTGTCAGATGATGTCCAAAAAAAGGGTCCACGTGTATTATTCTTTAGATGATTTTGCAGTCTGCCAAGACACCAAACTATTTGTATTGGCCCGTTCTTATGGGAGCTATGTGGTGACACAATATAATGAATGGCTCTTCTAATATTCTACCATCGTAGAAAAAGAAAACAAAAAACAAAAACAGAATCGAATTGGAAATTGTTATTTAAGCGGCCACCGGAAATATTTTATTTGTTAGGTGATTGTTCCGATTTAATTCTGTTTTTGTGTTTTAGTTTAGTTTTCACTGTCTCCTACCAATGACACAAACATTAGTATCTGACCATAGGGCGTGGCAGATATGTAGCTGGTAGATATTAACAGTTTAACTGTTTCCTCCCAAACATGACACGTTTGCTGACGTTCTAATCTGCAGCGTTGTTGTTAAATCGATGGGTATATATATACGCACGAGCACCCTCACGACGAAAAGGTATTTAAAGAGAAAATAATGTGACTGGACGATTAACTGGTGTTCTAGTTTAAGTTGAAAACCTTAAATTGTCCTCTCATTACGTGATAATCTAATCACGCGATTTCCTCTATACAGTCATTATATTGCTTTACTCGTCTAATTACGTGATTTACTCTTTAAAGTATATTCCCCTCGTTATTTCCGCTATATAATCATCTAATCACGTGATATATTGTATCTATTAATTCTGTTACGAACATTTAATTTACTCGGTGTGATCATCTGATAAAGTGATTTACTCTATGAAAGCGAAAGTATTAACTGGTTTAATTGTGGAAATATATTTACAGGGTGTCAAGATGACCATGAAGAGTTCGAGTATAGTCCACAGGATGGCTGGTATAACAACCCTGTCCACATAGACTGGGGCGCCATCGGTAAGTCATCCTAATACTGTTCCACATAGAATGGGGCGCCATCAGTAAGTCATCCTAATACTGTTCCACATAGAATGGGGCGCCATCAGTAAGTCATCCTAATACTGTTCCACATAGAATGGGGCGCCATC